CGGAGAAGCTCGTCCACCAGCTTCTCCATGTCCTCAACCAGCTCTTGCTAGCCCAGGCTAGTGCGGACCTTAGTAGTATCGAGGTGGCACTCCCTGCAGACGTGAAGCAGATCTGGGCATGGAACGCGGCCGTGCCGCAGCCGGTTGAGGCCTCGCTGCACGGCCTGTTCGAGGAACAGGCTCGCAGTTCGCCGACCGCGCAGGCCGTCCATGCGTGGGATGGCCAACTCACATACGCGGAGCTGGACCGAGCGTCTGCGCAGGTCGCGCTCCGGCTCGTAGAGGCTGGCGTCGGGCAGGGGACGATGGTTCCTGTCTGCTTTGAGAAGTCGGCGTGGGCCATCGTAGCGTTCCTGGCGGTATTAAAAGCGGGTGGTGCTTTCGTCCCATTAGACCCCTCACAGGCCGCGCTCCGCCGCGACAAGATCATCGCGCAGACAGGCGGGCAGGTCATCGTGTCCTCGCCATCCTGCTCGGCCACGGTAGCCGGCGCCGGTCGCCGAGTGCTGGTGGTGGACGCCACCATCCTGCAGGAGCAGCACAGCGGAGACAGCGCAGCAGCTCTTCCGCAACCGGACCCCCGGAGTCCTGCGTATGTATTCTTCACCTCTGGGAGCACGGGCGAGCCCAAGGGCGTCGTTGTCGAACATGGAGCCATCTCGACCAGTCTCAAATATCGTACTCAATTCCATGGATACAACAAACGCTCCCGCGTTCTTCAGTTTGCTTCATATAGCTTTGACGCAATCATTAATGAGATATTCATGACACTATATTCCGGGGCCTGCGTGTGTGTGCCCTCGGAAGAGGATCGTATGAGTGACCTGGCACACGCTATCAGGTCTCTGGCAGTCAATACTATGGAGTTGACACCAACGGTCGCTACATTGTTGAATCCTGAAGAATTTCAAAACTTGAAATGTCTAATTTTAGGTGGCGAAGCCGTCCATATGTCTGACGTGACGCGGTGGAGTCACTTACCTATGGTGGTGGTTGCCTACGGACCTACGGAGTGCTGCGTCACCGCCACTACCCACCGCGTCGATGCGCAAGGCGCACACATGCACAACGGCATCATAGGCAAAGCTATGGCAGCGGTTGCCTGGGTGGTCAACCCTCACGACCACAACCAGCTGGCCTCTATTGGCGCCGTCGGCGAACTGGTCGTGGAAGGGACCACCCTTGCCCGGGGCTACCTGGGCGACCCGGCCAAAACAGCAGCGTCTTTCATCGAAGACCCTGACTGGCTTGTTCGCGGAACCATCGGCCATCCCGGCCGCCACGGAAGGGTATATAAGACTGGCGACCTGGTCCGGTACGACAAGACGGGAACCCTCACCCACCTCGGCCGCAAGGACAACCAAGTCAAGCTGCGGGGCCAGAGAGTAGAGCTCGGCGAGGTCGAGTTCCACGTAGGCCAGTGCTTGCCGGGCGCAGTCCAGGTCGCCGCCGATGTGGTGACGCTGGCCGACGGCGACAAGGTACTGGCGGCCTTTGTACAGAGCCGCGAGTGTAACGACGCCGCGGAGCCGCTTGTGCTGCAGGCCATGCAGGTCGAACCTGACGTGGCCGAAAGTCTTGCCCAGTGTCTGCCAAGGTACATGGTCCCCACTGTGCTGTTCGGCGTGCAGGCAATACCCAAGACAATTACGGGCAAGACAAACAGGAAGCTCCTCCGCGAGGCGGCGGCTGCGGTGTCGCAGGATACACTCGACCAAATCCGGGGCCCGTCTGGAGGGAAGAGCACGAGGCCCATGAACGCGATGGAACTGAAGCTCCAGCGCCTCTGGTCGGAAGTGCTGGGCGTGGGGCTCGAGGCTATCAGCCCGGAGGATAATTTCTTCCGGTTAGGCGGCGACTCGGTGGCCGCCATGAAGCTGGCTAGCCACGCCCGCCGCGAGGGAATCGCCCTGACTGTCGCGAACCTTTTCCGGCATCCTCGGCTGCTAGACATTGCGAGGACTACATCTGTCTGCGCCGAGACCGGCGGGGACGTTGCCATACCGCCGTTTTCCCTGCTTGGCCGTGCGGCAGACGTGGCCGACTTGCGCGGCGAGGTTGCCAAGATCCTCGAGATCGATGAAGGGACGATCCAGAATCTTCTGCCGTGCACGACGCTCCAGGAAGGCTTGTTGGCGCTGACAGACCGCGACGACGGCGACTACATGGCGCAGATTGTACTGCGCCTTACCCCGGACACTCAACTGTCTAAGCTGTGCGCGGCATGGGATGCGGTCGCCAAGCTGCTCCCTATTTTGCGCACAAGGGTGGTTTCCACCCGAGAGCACGGACTCCTGCAAGCTGTACTCTCTGGCACACCTCAATGGAACCGGGCCGAGTGCCTGAAAGACTATCGTCAGTCCGACCGCGCGCGGCCAATGGGACTGAACGATGAACTAACGCGGTACGCCTTGGTGGGCAATGCGGCGGGCGGCGGGGACGGCTGGTTCGTCTGGACGATCCACCACTGCCTTTACGATGGATGGACCATGCCGCGCATGCTTGCCATGGCCCAGCGCGCCTACCAGGGCTTGGATCTGGGCCAGCCCCGGGATTTCGGTGCATTCATCAAGCACATCCAAGCCACCGATGGGGACGCGGCAGACGCATTTTGGCGATCCTACCTTGCGGACGTGAATGCACCCCAGTTCCCTGTCCTGGACGGGCCGGCAATACGCACGCGCGAAGATCAGGAGAGGGGCTCGATGCAGGTGTCACAAGAGATAAGCCTTGCCCGGCGCTCGAATGTTGCACCTTCTACTCTCGTGTACGCTGCTCTCGGGCTGGTCCTGGGCCACACGACTGGCTCCGACGACATCGTTTTCGGCACCACGACACTGGGGCGAACCTGTCCCGTCAGCGGGATTGAGGACATCATGGGCCCAACCATAGCGACCGTGCCGGTTCGCGTCAGGCTTGCGGCGGCGCAGCCGATTTCCGTGTTTCTTAGCACCATGCAGGACGAAGCGGCAGCGATGATCGCGCACGAGCAGAGAGGCATCCACAACATCGCGCGACTCGGCCATGACTGCCGGTCCGCGTGCCGTTTCCAGACGCACCTCGTAGTGCAGCCGAGGGAGACTGTCGCGTACGAGGAGAGCCTGTTTGGGGAGTGGGACCAAGCCTTGACCCAGGGAACTGACCTCACCACATACCCGCTGATGATAGAATGCAACTTTGACAAAGACAGCGTCACGATCATGGCGGGCTTTGACAAGGGAGCAATCCGCCCAGAAGAGACGGAGAAGCTCGTCCACCAGCTTCTCTATGTCCTCAACCAGCTCTTGCTAGCCCAGGCTAGTGCGGACCTTAGTAGTATCGAGGTGGCACTCCCTGCAGACGTGAAGCAGATCTGGGCATGGAACGCGGCCGTGCCGCAGCCGGTTGAGGCCTCGCTGCACGGCCTGTTCGAGGAACAGGCTCGCAGTTCGCCGACCGCGCAGGCCGTCCATGCGTGGGATGGCCAACTCACATACGCGGAGCTGGACCGAGCGTCTGCGCAGGTCGCGCTCCGGCTCGTAGAGGCTGGCGTCGGGCAGGGGACGATGGTTCCTGTCTGCTTTGAGAAGTCGGCGTGGGCCATCGTAGCGTTCCTGGCGGTATTAAAAGCGGGTGGTGCTTTCGTCCCATTAGACCCCTCACAGGCCGCGCTCCGCCGCGACAAGATCATCGCGCAGACAGGCGGGCAGGTCATCGTGTCCTCGCCATCCTGCTCGGCCACGGTAGCCGGCGCCGGTCGCCGAGTGCTGGTGGTGGACGCCACCATCCTGCAGGAGCAGCACAGCGGAGACAGCGCAGCAGCTCTTCCGCAACCGGACCCCCGGAGTCCTGCGTATGTACTCTTCACCTCTGGGAGCACGGGCGAGCCCAAGGGCGTCATCATGGAGCACCACGCCGTTTCGACCAGCCTCAAGTACCGGGCGTCAGCCCAAGGCTTTACCCCAGAGTCCCGTGTCCTTCAATTCGCCTCCTGTACCTTTGACGTCTTGATCGACGAGGTCTTCATGACGCTCTACTCCGGGGGCTGCACATGTGTGCCCTCGGAAGAGGATCGTATGAGCGATCTGGCACACGCTATAAAGAGCTTGGCGGTGAACACGCTTGGCCTTACGCCCACCATTGCTGCGCTGCTAGATCCGCAAAAAGTCCCCAACATTGACACGTTGGTGCTCTGGGGTGAAGCTGTCCAGAGGCATGACATTGCGCGGTGGAGTCATGTTCCTGCCGTCGCTGTCACCTACGGACCTACGGAGTGCTGTGTCACCGCCACTATCCACCGCGTCGATGCGCAAGGCGCACACATGCAGAACGGCGTCATAGGCAAAGCTATCGGAGCGGTTGCCTGGGTGGTCAACCCTCACGACCACAACCAGCTGGCCTCCATTGGCGCCGTCGGCGAACTGGTCGTGGAAGGGCCCAGCCTTGCCTGGGGCTACCTGGGCGACCCGGCCAAGACAGCAGCGTCTTTCATCAAAGACCCTGACTGGCTTGTTCGCGGAACCATCGGCCATCCCGGCCGCCACGGAAGGGTATATAAGACTGGCGACCTGGTCCGGTACGACAAGACGGGAACCCTCACCCACCTCGGCCGCAAGGACACCCAAGTCAAGCTGCGGGGCCAGAGAGTAGAGCTCGGCGAGGTCGAGTTCCACGTAGGCCAGTGCTTGCCGGGCGTAGTTCAGGTCGCCGCCGAGGTGGTGAGACTGGCCGACGGCGACAAGGTACTGGCGGCCTTTGTACAGAGCCGCGAGTGTAACGACGCCGCGGAGCCGCTTGTGCTGCAGGCCATGCAGGTCGAACCTGACGTGGCCGAAAGTCTTGCCCAGTGTCTGCCAAGGTACATGGTCCCCACTGTGCTGTTCGGCGTGCAGGCAATACCCAAGACAATTTCGGGCAAGATAAACAGGAAGCTCCTCCGCGAGGCGGCGGCTGCGGTGTCGCAGGATACACTCGACCAAATCCGGGGCCCGTCTGGAGGGAAGAGCACGAGGCCCATGAATGCGATGGAACTGAAGCTCCAGCGCCTCTGGTCGGAAGTGCTGGGCGTGGGGCTCGAGGCTATCAGCCCGGAGGATAATTTCTTCCGGTTAGGCGGCGACTCGGTGGCCGCCATGAAGCTGGCCGCCGCGCTCCGTCGCCAAAAGCTGAAACTTTCAGTCAAACAAATCTTCAGTTTCCAGACTATTGCCCTGCAGGCTGCGTCCACTAAATGCCTTTCAATGCTGGACGAACCGCTGCGGTCTCAGCATGGTCCTATGGCACCATTTTCACTCTCTACTGCTCTTAGCTCAGCGGAGTTGTCGTCTATGATCTCCCGATTTCCTGTGGATGAAGTCCTTGATGTTCTTCCCACCACTCATTTTCAGCACATGATAATCAGCCGCGGCGTAAAGTCTTCTCATGCTGCGCTAAATTACCCAGTGCTAAACTTAGGTCGTTCTGTTGAAGTAGAACGCTTGCAAGATGCTTGCCGCTCCGTCGTGGCACACTTGGAGGTCCTTCGCACAGTTTTTGTCGAACATGGAAATCGAACGTGGCAAATTGTTTTGCGTCATCTGGATCCTCCTTTTTACACCATCGACCAAGCCAGTTCCCGAGACGACTTGTCACGTTCAATCATTACACAAGCCAGCACGTGTGTCGGTGGAAGTTATCCTATGCTGTCCTTCACTTTGGTCTACCAACAGTCATCAGAGCTCCAACTTGTCGTTGGTCTCTCCCATGCCCAATATGATGGGTTTTGTATGCCTCAATTCTTAAAGTCTTTGTCGCATGCTTATTATGGGGTGCAGCTCCCGCGCACCGTCCCTTTCTCAACCTACATGTACTCGCGAGCTGCACGTCATGCAGAATCAGTCTCGTTCTGGAAAAAGTACCTTGAAGGTTCGAGATTGATCAATCTTTCATCTCATTTGAGTACAACCAGCCAATCCGGTGTACCTTCACGAGTGATTGAAACATCCGGCATGCTTGAGCATATCGAACTACCCACCCTACCCAACGGTATCACCGTTTCATCTTTCCTTCAAGCTGCATGGGCTCTGACTCTACTCCACGCCACAAATGTCCAAGACATGGTCTACGCTATAGTAGTTACTGGGCGCAATTCTACGATTCATGAGATTGACGATGTTGTAGGGCCCTGCGTCAACATCATTCCAGTTCGACTGATATTCTCTCCAAATTGGACCGCCCTTGACCTCGTCAAAGCTGTACAGAGTCAAGTTCTCACTATTGGTGAACAAGATTCACTTGGTTTCAATGAGATAGTTCAACAATGTACGGACTGGCCCTCCATTTCTACATTTGATGCCTTTTTTCAATCCCAGAACGTGGACGAACATCCAGAACACAACATCAGCGGCTCTCAAACCCAGCTGCAGTGGATGGAGAATCCATACGTCGAGCAGGATGAGTTCAGCATCACGACGTATACTCAGGGCCAGCAATTGAGATTCGATATCGTTTCTGGCACACACGTTAGTTCCAAAGATGCAGCTCTCTTGAGATGGTGGTTCCACAATGCTGTTTCTGTACTGGGAATGCATCTGCAGACCAACGCGCCCATTTGTCGGCAGAACATAGCTGCATGATAGGATATAAGTGGCTTTGTTCTTTTATTTGAAATTCGATAATCGTGAAGCAGAAACTACGCACTGTAGCCTAGAAGCATTCACTTATATTGATCTTTGTACATTAGCGTTATCAGGAATCATAATATTTTAGACGAATCTTTGGTTCGTTCATTCTGCATTATGCTGTATGTGCTGCTTCGCAGCATCGATAACCTTTCATTTGTGGGACAGCTAAGAATTAGCTAATATTCCCGACCGCGTTGTGTAGCTTCTCCTCTACAACGCCACCAGTATTGCCACATGCACAGACCAGCTCCATCACCCATGTCAACCTACTCGCCTTCACCATAATAATCGGAAGGATTGCAGTAAAGGAGTATAACATATCCTCTCTTTGAGGTGTTATTTGGTGTCTTGTCCAGCACATCCGCTCCTTTTTGCTGAACTCTGGAAGGGGCATCTCTTGAAGAGCATGAATCAGGCCACCAGTGACTTTGACATCTGTCTGGCGGTGGGATTAGTTGTCACTAAATTGTTTCAAATCAAAGCAATGGATTTCAATGAAAGGCACGATCAGTTCTTGAGGTGTCACCCCCCTTTAAAACCATATACTGCGTCGAAGCTTTTGCTTCCAGATCGACCGTGGAGGCTCGTTCCGACTGAAAAAATGCAAGCACAGATATGTAGGCGTAGCATTTTGCAACACATTACTTTTCAACCTTATATCGTCGCTACTTCTCCTCGGCTTCAAAGTATCTCCTACTATATAGCAACTTTCCGCCATTACGAAAAGTAAATCCGCCTCTGCCTGTTAATTCATACATCGCTGATGGTCGACCAAAGCTACCTGAGCATGTGGCATATATTCCATCCAAGTCTGTCGGTTCTCATGCTTCGGAAAGGGGTATACTTCAGCTAGACATTGTATCACTTTGGTTCGATAGACATCACTGCTTGATCCACCTTCGTATCGTCAATGGCACCAAACGATGAATCTCAAAAGCATCGTCTTGGTCTTGAATTGAAATAAACGCATACCCTTTCAGAATCCCGACTGCCTCGTTTTCCGCCTGCTGGTCTTTTCCGTACGGCAGTAGTGAAATGGCGATGTCCCTTTCAGCCAGAAAGCAGATAAACTTCAGGTATTCGACGGCAGAAGAATACGTTCGTTCCAGATGTTGGAATGAGATCAGCCACGAACTAATATGCTAAGTTAATGCTGCTTAGCGTCAGGATTATCTACCTGAACAATATCTTGAGAGGTGGCTCGATAAGCATCCACATATTCTGCGACCGATCTCTACGTTAAGCATGATGGTCATAGCAGGCTCAAGATCTGGGAATACAACGCCCATTGACCAAGCATAGATGATAATGGCAGACCCGAAGCCTTCCACCGACTGCCTACATACAGATTCTACCTTAACAATCTTCGTCTCCGACAATGAGATCCTGGGAAGAGCAAGAAATATGCTTCAACCTTTCCTCGAGACACTTAATTCTGGCTTCTCCATATTCGAGAAGATGCGGATCGGATCTTTGCAAGAAAGTATCAGACGACTATTTCTATGTCTGAATCACCACTAATAGACGATGTGTAGGACAAATAACTATTTTCGGGGCGGGAAGGTGGAAGGTAGAAGCACGTTTACTCATTCGCTGTTATATACGCTTTATCATGTGCGATTGCTGTTTGTAGGGCTTAGCGTTTCATTTCACCGCTACTAAAGCTCGCCTTCAGCGCAGGGCCTAGTGCTCATTTGCTCAGTGCATCATCTCCTGTGGGCTAGGCGCTAGGTCCCCCTGCCTGACGCACAGGTTAGGGTGCAGATGCAAACGGCCTTTGGGGTGAAGAAGCGAATTTTGATTCCATTTTACCATACGCTTTTCCGCATTCATTTTAGCGCTTTGTGGATCTTGACGAGATCGAATATAGTTTCCATAGGGTTCAAAGATGCACAGTATCATACGTATCTGGCGCTGCAAATCACAACTACTTATGGATCCGACTGAGGAGGTTGCACCAGCGTGTGCTTAGGAACTCTCGGCTGTAGCCTCTGTGGTCTACTTGGATTTGTCAAGTCATTCGCTGGAAAGGGATATACCTAGTAGTCAGTGTGCGACAAGATCCCCAGAAGTCACCCATATCACGTAGCTATGCCTAATTTACCGTCATGTGAATGACTATGTGTATGCTGTCGAATATCACGTGTGTCCAATCGAGTAGTCAGAAGTGCATAAGATTGTATTATGAATGAGGTGTGTCCTTGTCTGTGTTCTGTTCTCGCGAACTCCCGTTGCTCTGCCCTTTGTAGATTCTTTCGGAAATGTCGGAGGTGCATTGTTCAGGTGTCTGACCCCGAACTTCGGAGTTACTTTCGGGAAGAGGGGTTCATTTCGCCGTCTGAACTTCAAGTGACACTAGTCTTCTCTAGTGCCATATTATTTCTGAACCTAGGAACCAGGTGTCCTATCTGACATATGCACGTCAACTCCTTTCGCCACCTGCAACTAAATCAAAGAGGGCACCAACGGAATGGTCGTCAATTCAGGTTGGCCATGCAATAGTCGCATAGTAAAAATTAGTAAGTAGATGTGTCTACCTCTCCATGAACCCCATCGCCCCTCGATTCAATGAGTAGAGTCTGGTGTATCTTTGATTTTATCTTGTTTACCCACAATATCTTGAAAGGCTCCAAAAAGTATTCTTTGGAAAACGATTCTAGTTATGGCTGCAATTGTCATTTTGGATGTCGGTGGTACTCACACACACACACACACACACAATTTATTACGCCCGGGCTATTCCCCTAGAGGGTAACTAACGCTATAGTATCCATCCATTTATCAAGTTTCCGTCCTGACTCCGACTTGAGCCTATGACGTCCCACACCTACATCCGGGACAACCCCTCATGTGGGACGCCCTAAAAATGATGCTGTATATTATAACCATTAACTTCAACCTTTTTTTACACTTATTCTAATGCGACTACAATACAGCTTTCACCGTCACTAGGGTTTTCAGACTCGATAGACTCATCTGTACTATCCTCAATTTCACCAGCCTCGATTTGAGCCTTCCGAATAGCCTTGATATTAGTAAACTTCGAATTTGGGCTCATCTTGACCTTCCTCTGCTTCCTAGCCCTACTAGCCTCAAGCTCTGCCTCTATTGCCTCAATCTTTGGCTGTGAGACAGCTAATTGGTAGTCCTTCTCATCAAAGCCCTTTTGAACTTTCCGAAAGAGTAGCCGCTGGGTATTTGGATCACTATCAAGCTTGCTGAATAAGCTGAGTTGATCTTGGAGCTCATCTCTCCTCTTAGGCGTTGACCAGGCTACTGCTGATGTCTCTAACGCCCAGTCCTGACTACCCTTACTATCAGAGTACCCTTTGCAAGTCTGACTAGGCTGTCTGATTGGTGCTGACGTATTCTCAAGGAGCAGGGGGCTCATAAGGGGTCTAGCTATGCTCGAAGGCCAGAGACCAGTATATTTCCATCCACTGATAATGTTCTTAGCGGTTAATGCTGCTAGACGTGCCTTTCTATAGCAGAGGAGAAAGTTTCTCTTCCCTACGACAGTAGTAGTATCCCGTCGGTCAAGGTAACCAAGCTCGTTCTTATAGGCTGCCTTGAGGGGTCCAAAGACTGACTGATCGAGAGGCTGGAGAACGTGGGATGTGTGTGGCGGCAAGAAAAGCAAGTGTATCTTGTTTATGAAGCAGAGGTACATGAACTGTCGTTTCGTGGCTACTATGCCCATCTATGATAAGTAACCTAGTCTCTTCAGGGTCCTCTGGTTGAGTCAAAGGAATAAAGATCTTTTGTAGCCACTCAATAGCCGTAGAGTCTGACGTCCACCCATTCGCTGTTGCTGTAAACCTCCAGGCTTCGTATGGAGTCAAGTCCAGAGGAAACCACTGCTGCTGGACAGACTTCCCCTTGTATATCACAAGTGGGGGTAGTGCAGTACTAGTCGCAGAGATAAACTCTATAAGAGATGTCCAAGCTCGAGATCCACGCTGTTTCTTCCGTATAGAACGAGTCTCAGATGATCCTAGAACATGACCATTTGATCCTCTACCTTCTAGAATACCTGTCTCATCCATATTGTATCGATTCGAGGCCTTAATAGCTTTGATCTCAGGGATAGCGAGGTATTTGAACCATTGCCTGATCACATTAGCTGAGGCTCTATTAATACGCTGGGAATCGATAGCTCTGCTTCTCTGGACCTTGACTGAAGGGTTCCTCTTGATAAAAGCCTGGACCCAGTTCTTTCCAAGTGGTTCGGTGTCTCCGTGGATCTGTAGGATACGTTCGGCGAAGTCTTTGAGCTGTTGATGGGTTGGTGGGAGGCCTAGGGCAGCCTGGATTCGAACCCATTCAGCCAGATGAGATTCCTGGGCTGGAGAGAGCCTCTGGTAGTCAGCGAAGGCTATATCTCTTGACTGGGCTCCCTGAATCCGTCGTGAAAGAGTAGACCTTGGGACACCATGCTCATATGCTGCTTTTCGGAGGCTTTGACCGGTAGCTATTGTTTAAAGAGCTCAATAAATATCATCTTCGGTATATTGACTCATATTAGTGTAAAGAAGACGTACGTAAAATTTCGTAACGATTGAATCGATATTGGTAAAGAAAAAAGAGGTTGAAGTTAGAGGCTAGCGGCGTTGATGAGGCATTTTTGGGTGTCCCACATGTGGGGGTGTCCCGGATGTGGGTGTGGGACGTTAGGCTCTAGCTCCGCCGCTATCCCTCGAATAGTTTTACAACTAAGATACTCACCTAAGTATAGTGCATACTACGCTCGTGAGCGAATCCCCGAAGGATATTACCTGTGACGGTCAACCCTCGCAGACTCACTACAACCAGGTGACTTACAGCTGGAACACCTGCCGTGGCAGTATGAGATGGGAAGCCAATCATAACCCTTGTAGGAGCCCCGCCAAGCGTGGATGACTTAGTCGCGCTCCCTCAAACCTAAGTTGTCATCTTCTTTCCTTCGCTCCTTAGAGTAGAATCTTGGTCGATAGCACCTAATCGAGGTCTATACCAATGCGATGCAACCCAGGTCGTGACATTACCGCCCTTTATACGCTTAAAAAGGAACACCTAGACTAGATCCAAACTATAGACCTTAGGGATACATACG